AAAAATTGTCTTCCATGAAACTTAGGAACCAGACAGTGCAACAGGAGGTGAGCAGTGCGAGTGAGTGAAGCTTCATCTGTATTTTACAGCCACTTCCCACTCTCTCACATCACCGCCTGAGCTCCACCTTCCCCCTCAAATCTAATCTGCTGCTATATAAATATGGAGAGAATCGTTTATGGACCAAATATTCTCAACTAGATCAGCTTTAGATAAGATGATCGTCTAATTTCTTGGCTAGCTGTTAGGATTCTTTTTTTTTTTAAGCTTACAAAAATAGTATATACCAAAGAATATGTGTGAAACATAAAATTTTAAAGCATAATACATACAAACATAATGAATGAGATGTGCTACTTTTGGGGATGTCACACTTGTAGTTCTGGACTTGATTGGTGGTGTTGAGAGGGCATGGACAATATGTGTAATCTTAACATTGTACCCCATAATATGCTGAAATTAAAGAAATTTTGAGCATAATACATAATAATTAATTATAGCGCAGCCTAGCACAGAATTCTCCCTATGTTCTCTTCTTTGTCTATTTCCCGAAGTTTAGTTTTGATCTAGAACTAGTTCCATATGTCTGTTTACTGCAGGTGGCCCAGCCCTTTTTGGTGCCGAGGTGGTTTTCGATGAGAGCAGTTTTTCCATGGATCAAGGTGAGGTGGGATGGGGGGGTGGTTTGAGGATGATTCAACAATATTAAGTTTATTGTGCACTTTATTGCTACTATTATTACATCATAATATATAATTAAATAATATTATACAACTCACTATATGCAGAATCAGTGGGAGCCCTGAGTTTGTTTTCTTGCAACTAGAGGGTCCTATCTGGGGTAATGGGAGACAGTGACTGACCTGACAGGAGGCAGAGCTCAGGTGGGTGATGCCAGCAATGGGGAGCCCTATAAATATAGCTGAAGCTTGGCTCACCCTCCTGCTGTGCTGCCTGGTTCCTAACAGTCCGGGTTGGGGACCACAGATTTACTGTGTGGCTATATTTCTTAATTACCTTACAAAAGATCTGGTGATTTCTGCTATTTGTGAACTTTCAGCTAGGAATTGCCCAGTATAAATAATTTGAAATTTTATTTTGAATGAGAGGATTTTTTAACTTAGGAACATGAATTATTCCATAATAACTTTGGATATTTTTCTATTTCAAAGGCTATGAGAGAGAGATAGTACGTTATCCCTGTGGTGAAAATAAATTCATTTATTGCATATGCTTCCTCAGTCTCTGAAGTAAAGGTATAAGTAATACAGGGGCTGGGCGTGGTGGCTCACACCTATAATCCTAGCACTCTGGGAGGCCAAGGCGGGTGGATCACTCAAGGTCAGGAGTTCAAAACCAGCCTGAGCAAGAGCGAGATCTCGTCTCTACTATAAATAGAAAGAAATTAATTGGCCAACTAAAAATATATACAATCCTCCTGCCTCAGCATCTGAAGTAGCTGGGACTATAAGCACTCACCACCATGCCTAGCTAATTTTTGTATTTTTTGTAGAGACAGGGTCTTATGTTGCTCAGGCTGGTCTCAAACTCCTGATCCTCCCACCTCAGCCTCCCAAAGTGTTAAGATTACAATCATGAGCCACCATGCCTGGCCTGTATCTGATTTTTTTCACTCCTTTTATTAAAGTCACTATCAATCTATGAATTTGATATAAGGAAGAATCATCAATAATGAGACTGTAAATATATAGTCTATAAGTTAACAACAAAACAAGTCTTGATAATGCAATTCTATGATGGACATCTGATGGATGGATGGGAGGTTATCTACGCAGCTGTAATATGCACTGAAGTAGAGAGACTACAATGCCTCCCTACTTATAGATGAATACAAATACAAAGGAGAAAATGCTTTAAAACATTTTTTCAAAGCACATTTAAAATGTGATAATAGTTGCAGGTCACTAAGAAACTAAAAGTAATTAAACTATCTTGGCATACAGCAACAGAATGGTTTGTTTTAAGGAAAGAATAATAAGAGTTTAATAAATGTATTGGGAGACCAAGGCTATAAAACACAATGCGGGAAAAGTTGTAGCAACCAATTCAAAAAAGTTTAACCTCTCACAAAGGGTAGAAAGGCCAACCGTAAACTTTCAAGTCCTTTAACATATGAGATTAGGGTGCCCCTCCGCCATCCTCAATATTAAAAATCATCTCTGAATGGGAGAGATAACTGGGGAAGGCATAAAGGGGAATCCAATCTATTTGTGGTGAATTAAATTCAACTCAACAAATATTTCCTGAAAATATATTATGCGTGAGACATTGTGAAAGATGTTTGTTTTACCTCAAACTCTTCAGAATTATATGGGATAAGGGAGGAGAATGGGATTCCCAGAAGTACACAAACAACCCAAGACCGAATAGAAGCGCTCTAAGAGAGGTTCCAGTCAGGATTATGGGGTCAAAGGCAAGAGTACTTTGAGACTCAGAAAAGACTTCATGAGATAAGTGCTGAAGAAAAGGCAAAGTTATGGGGATGAAAGTTAGGAGAGTAGGTGAACATCCGGAAGAACCGGCAGCCGCCAACTCCCGGTACCCTCACAACCGCCCGTCTGTTCGCGCTCGGCGGGCGTCACGCGCACCCTCTCACGCGGGCTGGCGCCACACTACCGATCAAACCTGCCCTACCTCTGATGCCCCCGCCCTTTCTCACCTCGGGGGCTTCCAAACTCCTCCTCGGTCAGCCTTATCTGAGAAGAAGACAGCGCCGTCTGGAGAGAGACCCAAGGCCGGCAACCTGAGCGTCCTGTCAACCTGCGAACCCCAAGCGACGGCCAGGCCGCATCTCCATGACAACGCCGCCAAGCACCAGTTCGAACGCCCGCTCTGTCGCCCGCGCGCAGGCCGTCCCGCACCGCCCACCAATGGGCATGCAGGGAATCGGTTGTCGTTCGCTGCCTTCCTCTCTAGAAGACCAATCAGAGATCCGAGGGAACAGTGGGCGTAACTCTCAATTTCCGTCCTTCAACCACTCGTGCCACTTGAGTTAAGATCTCGCGACGTTCTCAGTGAGAGAACGGCACCTTTGAGGCGGGTCGAGGATCCTACTGCCCAATTCTGTTGGTTGTCCACAGCGCAACCGAGCTCACCTGATTGGTCGGCGTACTTCCAGTCTTCGTTCAAGGCCCGCCTCCTGCCTCCCTCCGCTACGGGTGAGTAGCCTAAGCGGCAGCTAGATTTAATTCCCTGTAGAAAAACTGACGCTTGGAGCAATGGCAGTCTGCAGCTGACTAACTGCAGGGTCAAAGGTGGACGCGCCCTCCAAGCTGGCAATGAGATGTGAGCAGGCCAGACCCCATCCGCTGGTAGAACCTCAGTTTTCCTGTCAGTACCGGAAGAAGGCAGAGTTCAGTGACCCTGTGAGCCTTGCTTGCCCCGATGCGAGTGGCGATGGGGTGGGTCGTCAGAATCCGAGAGGCGGGCGAGGCCCCGGTTTAAAGCCCAGTGGCCCGGGCGCCATGCCTTCCCCTCCCTGGGCCTCAATTTCACTTTATTGTTACCTGTTAAACGCCATCTGCTTACCGAAGAGATTTTATGTTTTCTAATTGCTTCAGTATTGAGCGGGTAATATCGTAGCAGAAGTAAAGAAAGTCACACGAGAGTCCCACCACTTAAAAAAACAGCAATAAGGATGTGACAGCTTACAGTAAACTGAATGCAATCAAATTGTCAAATGTAAAACGCTAATGTAGAGTCGAGGTTAAGAAAAATGATATTGGGAGTCAGGCAGACCTGTGTTTGAATCACTGACAAGACACATCTCTGAACCATAGTTTCCTTTTTCTTATTCTGAAAAATGGCAGTAGTGCCTCAGGGACTTGTGAAGATTAAGTGAAATAATGAAGGTAAAGCAGTCGGCACAATGCTTGGCAAGTAGTAGCTTCTCAAAAAATGGTAGCTATTATCCTCATAATAAGAACGAGCTAGCGGGTGCACTGGGTCATGTCTGTAGTCCTAGCACTTTATGAGACTGGAGAGGAAGGATCGCTTAAGGCCAGCCGTTCCAGACCAGCCTGGGCAACACAGCCAGACCCCATCACTACAAAAAAAAAATTAGCCAGGCATGGTGGTGCATGCCTGTAATCCCACCTCTTTGGGAGGCTGAGGCAGGAGGATTGCTAGTGCCTAGGGGTTTGAGGTTACAGTGAGCTATGATTGTGCCACTGCACTCCAGCCTGGGTGATAGAGTGAGACTCTGTCTAAAAAAAAAAAAAAAAACCACACACACACACAAAAACAAGCAAATACACTAGTCAGTAGGCTAGTGTACTTACAGTAACTGAGTACCCAATTTAGCTCATATGCAGACCCTTGTTTACATCATTTATTTTAAACTGTACAACAACCATGAAAAGTAAGTGTTAACTTCATTTTACAAACGAGGATTAAGTATCTTGCTCTGAGTAACAACTATTAAACTCAGTAGTTAGGTCTTTCTGACTGCAAAGCCAGCCATACTTTTCTGTGTTGTGTTGTGTTATTTCTGACTGAAAGAGGATGGGAATACTTGGAATACCAGAGAGGTTGGACAGGTAGACTTACCCAAATTGGAGGAAAGTGGGCTGTAGACATACATATAGTAGGAGCAAACTCTTTCTCTAATAGAAAATTTCCACTGTGGGAAATGAAGAGATGGGAGGAGATGATCACTGAACTTTAGACCCATCTGTTCATTTACCTTTAGGGTAGTCTGTAGCACTTCAAATTTAACTTGTCCCAAACAGAAGTGATTAGCTTACATTCTACCCCCTCCTTCACACTGTACTTAAACCATATACCTCTCTCTCTTTCCTTTGGACTATAAAACATCACTCTCTCTCCCTTAGACAATGAAACATCAATATTATCAATTTTACTTTGAGATATCTGTCAAATTCCTCCCCTCCTCTCCTTTCCCACAGCCTCAGCCTTAATCTATCATTTGACAACTAGACTATTGTAATAGGCTTGTGACTGGTTGGTCTCTTTGCCTGCAACCTTTCCTTATAATTCGTTCACCTTGCATGCTGCCAGAATGTCTTTGTAAAGTGTCAGTCTGACCAAGTTATCAGCCCTGCCAAAAACCAGTCAAAGGCCTCATTGCTACAGAATATAAAACTAAGCTGTTTACCAATGAAATGTCATTTTGTTCTTGAGAGTCTTTGCCTACCCTCTTCCCTTTGCCTAGAGTGCCCCTTGCCTCCACCTTTATTCTGCCATCCTTCAAAATCTTTGTGGGGTAACCCTTTAACCTAAAGATCCTTTTTTGCTACCTTTCCATCCTACATATACCCTTGTGATGCACAAAATACACTGTAACTTGTCTGTTTGAATGTCTTCCACTTTCACTAGGCTGTGAACCTCTAGAAAGTAGGGGCTTTGTAATATTCAGCTTCATATCTACCTTTCAATCCTTTCATATTGCCTGTCTCATAGGACACACTCAGCAGACATTAGATTAGTAAATGAATCCCTTCAGACTCTGATATTAGAATTCCCCAAGTTTGCTTTCTAGAATTGTACAGCAGATGGCACTAACAGGCCACTTAAAAATCCCCTTCACTAAGAATGATTTTTGTCCCAACCTTGTCTGACTTTGGCCTCATCCTAAAACCAATATTCATGCCATTACAGGTGAAATCTCCTGTTTCTTCCCTCAGCCAAATAGCAAAGATAACAAAGTGACTCAGCAGCTTGGTCTCTGCAAGAAGAATGGAGTGGCAGATGTCCAGGGAATAGTGCAGTTAAAGGAATATTTTCTTTGTCTCAATTTATTTGTGGTAGTTAGGAGCTTTTCTCTTTTTAATTCCTTTCTTTTTTCTTTTCCTCTTTTTGTTGTCATTATAAGAGAGAGCTTGTGGATGGGTGCCACATTTCTGTCCACTCCAAAAGGGAAGAAGGAAACTGGCAAATTGGAGAAAAGACAATTATGATTCAGGAGGTGAGGGAAAGCTGAGCAGTCACATAGAGTTGCTTGTGGGCAAGCAAAGAGTTGGCCTTCCTCCTCATGGCCTGGTCAGATTTTCTGGACACTAGGGCCCTAGGTTAGGTTCTTGTGTACTTCTCCAAAGCTAGCATGGAGAGTGTTCCCAATACTTGTTGCATGGGCATCCCCAGGCTACTGGGTATGGGTTTGAACATGTGATTTTCTGCTTCCCAGAAAAGAGCAGAAGACCTTATCAGATAGGCACCCCTAGGAGTCATACACTCCACTTTACCCCTCTAGTGTCTTCTTTGGGCATCAGGATTTGCATATACCATCCTCTCCCCCCAACTAAAACCTGTTTAGTGGAAAGGATTTGAGCTAGATAACTTCCATATAAATATATATTAAAGACTGAGAATTTTGAAACTGGAAGAGATTTTATAAATCATTTGTATGTGCTCTCTCAGGGCCATTTGTGTCCTAAGCCCTATTGTTTCATGTTGAGCAGAGCTGTGAAAGGGAAAAAAATATAGACTTTGGAGTTAGACTTACCCGGATTCAAATCCCACCATTTATAGTCTAGGCATGCTCTTGGACAAGTATTTTAACCCTTTCTAATATCTCAGTTTCGTCATAAACAGGAGATAATAATGTTTCTTTTGAAGGGTTGTCTTGAGCATTAGAAATGATAGTGTACCTTGCACAGTGTAACTGGCACAGTATAGTCACTTAATTGATAACGCGGTAGCCTGAAACACTTTTTCTGTTAAAGGGATTTTAGACTGTGGGGAACAGGTCAGAGGGAGAATTTTGGGAGCTCCTTCTATATCTAAAGGTATATTTGTGAGGGCTTTTTATAGCACTATGATTAATTTAACAAAAACATTGGAACACATCAGCATAGCCATTTATTTGTAAATTCTTTTTTGGCATCTAGGTCTTAAGCCTCCTAGGCTGTGAGAGAATTGTATATATAGAGAAAGCCAAGAGTACTTTTCCTTAGCTTCTGGAACCTTCTGATGACATTGAGGGGTTTTTTTGTTCAGGTTTTTTCTAACCACCTCAGGCACTCTGCCACTTTTCTGAAGTGTGAATTGCCTGCTGTCAGCCTGGAGTTCTCACCTCCGCAATCCTGGCTGCAGGCATATTTGCATATTGGATGCTGTGTTCTTTAACCCCCTGAGGTTTGAATCCACTTGGAGTCTGTGTGTGAAAGCTGGCTACTTTCAAACCCCTGGACAGTTTCAGCTCCATGGTCTCCAGAAAAACAGAAAACCCCCAACAATAGCTCCATTCACTTTTATGTAAATGGCACTCTTCAGGAAAACACTGGGCTATTTCCCAGGGCCCCAGAACATACTCAAACATTTGTTTGAGTGGGAGGTGGGGAAAGAGTTCTTTTGAGTCAATGAACAGCTGTTGAGAGCTGCTGTGCTGGGTCCCAAGGAAACAGAGCTTATAGTCTGGCTGTCCCCTGCCAGAGGTACTGACAGAGATTTACCATGCTAGGTAGGTGTACATGCTTGTGGTGGCTTTGTATTGTATCAATTTAGCTAAGTAGAATTCCCAGGATTCCCTTCCTATATGGTTCCAGGTTAGGGTTGAGCACAGGAAAATTTTGTATGAGATTTGGAAAGCTGAAGTGAAGCAGCAGCCTGTACACTGTGAGGGACAGATTAAGGTACCAGGCATGGTGGCAGTATGTATACTTTTGACACTGATCTGCTGGCTCACCTTGTTGGTGAAGGATAGTATCAAGACCTGAATCTCTCCGAGCTCCTACTGAATCTCCTCCTTCAACTCCTCTGAGTCCTGGGCCAGGTGTGCATTCAGCTCTGTGGCAAAGGGCTCCACTTTTTCCCATAGGTCACTTGAGTCACTGAGCTTAGAGAAGGTGAAAGGAAGTTGCAGCTTTCAGTTTGTCCTCATGAGTTTCAGTTGTCTTCCTAGGTCCCAGTTTGTTCCCACAGGTTGCAGTTTGCCCTGGCTCTCCTCCATTCACATCCAGTTTTCTTCCCAACTGTTGGCCTCACTGACTTAAGAGACTTCAGGCCCAGTGCAGAGGCAACAGAGGTGTGTGGATTTCCCAACTAACTTCCATAGTTGCAGGAGGTCCAATCTTCATAACAATTCCTTAGTTTTCTATCGCTTATAGCTTTTGCTTCTTTGATCTAACCCTGTAGTAGAAGTTTATTTGATGATATGATTAGAAGCTAGAAAGCTTCACAGAGGAGTGACATCTGAGCT